CCAGTTCTGAGCCCTTTACCTCGTCCCTCCAGAAGCTGGCCTTTGCACCTCGAAGCTGGTGCTGTCCAGCCAACCACGCCATGCGCGGGAGGCCACTGGGACCCCACTTGCCTGGCAGCCCAACCGGAGACCCAGCTGCCTGGGAAGGTACAAAGATAATGACAGGCAGCCCTGGCGGGCCGGGAAGACCCTCTGTCCCTCCCGTTTCCCGGTTCTTGCATTCGGGGAGCCCTGGACTGGCTGGCGGCGCAGGAAAGCGCGGAAGGGCGGGTGGGGGACCTGCTACCGCCCAGGGAGACGGTGCTGCGTTCTTTGGAAATCAGGGAGACCGTCCTCCAGCCCCCTTGCCCCAGGCGGCAGCGGGAAGATCCTCTCCGGGCAGAGATGACGGGGAACCCCTGCAGCCGGAGGGTCTCCCTGGCAAAGGTCGGGGGAGGCGGGGGGCTGTAACGGCCCGGGGGCTCCGGCACTGAGACGCCAAGGGGGTTCTGCAAGCAGCCTCCACCCACCAGCCTCGCCAGGAGAGCGTGGATACTCGAGCGGCCCCAAGCGAGTCCCCGGGGACTGGAGGGCCTAGGGGCAGCGCCCGGAACAAAGGCCCGCAGAGGGGTCCTGGAAAGAGCGGCTCCCCGGGGGCGGCTCCCCTCTCTTCCCTCCTCTCCCGCCAGCTCCTCCTCCTCCTCCCCTTCCTCCCGCAGAGGCCCGGCCGGCGCGCGGCCCGAGCAGCGCCAACTTCGCCAACGGTTCCCAAGTTGCCGGGCGCGCAGGGGTGGGAGCTGGGTGGGGTGAGGAAGAAGAGGAGGAGGGCTCCCGGACGCCTTGGACGCGGTTCAGGAATCCGCTGCTGCTCGCCGGCTCGGGCCGGAGCGGGGAGGGCGCCAGGCAGGACTTCTCGCGGGCTCGCTGCGCAGGACGGCGCCCTCCTGGCGCCGCTTCCCTTCCAGCGTGCGGACCGGCCCGGCCGCGCCTGCATCCCTCCCGCCTGCCCCGGGGAGGGCGCACAGCCCGGGCCGCGCGGGCGCCGGGGCCACGGAACCGCTTCTGTCGGGATCTTCGAAGAGGAAGGCAAAGTTGCGAGCGGATGCTGCCCGCGCCGGACCCCAGCCGTGGAGGGTCGGGGCCGCCCGCGCCGGTGGAGCCTCGGCAGCTGGGGTAAGTGCGGCGCGGGCGTCCTGGAACCGCCGCCCGGCCCGGGGGAGGCCGCCCAACCGGGAGCCCCCCGCCTTCCGCGTCCAGGCGGCGCGCCAAACTTGGGAGGGAGAAGGGGGCGAAGCGGAGGGTGGGAGGCGGAGTTCCCGGCTCGGGGAAAAACCCAGGCAGGCACCCACAACCCGCTGCACCCGGATCACACCTGCCAGGTACACACAGCTCATCGCCACTCACACCCCGCACACCGCGCAGGCCGATCTGCGCACACCCACACCGGCCAGGCACATGCCACCCACCGAAATGCACATTCCTGGGAGCGCGGGGGATTTGGCCTCTACACCAGGCACGTCCTCACACCCCTCCCTCACATCCACGGCCTTTGTCTGCTACCCCTGCAGCCCCCAAGGAGAGGGAGCCCCCAAAGCGCAGCGGGCAGGAGAGAGGCTGCCTGAGTTTTGAAAAGTCGTGGCCAGAACCCCGAGACCAAGGGCGGGGGAGCAGACGTTGCAGTGGGTTCTCGGGGTTCTGCAGGAGCGGATTTGGTGTGGAAACTCGGTGTCTGGGTGATGTGTCTGGGTGTGCGAACCCCTTCCGGAGGCGAGGCCCAGAGAGAGGAGGGAGTGATTCATAAACTCAGAGCCGGCGTGCCAGGGTCTGTGAGCAGAGTGGAAGAGGCTGGCAGGCCGTTGCTGCGCTAGACAGAAGGGTAGTGGCCGTGACAGAGTCTTCCTGGGAAGCAGGGACCCTTCCCCCCAGCGGATGTGCTTCCTCCAGGGACTTCCAAGGGAACCGGGTGAGCAGATTCCAGTCCTGGGTGTGGACGGAGTAAGGGGAGGTAAGGGAATTTAAGCCTAAAAGGTTAGGGAGAAACCAAGGCAGGCCTGAAGACTTAATTATTTTCCTCGCACCTGAAGTTGTGTTTGGTTTCTGATGCGTGGTGTTCCTGGGCCCCAGGATGTCCCGGGGATTGTCCTGGGCCTAGCATAGTGCCTGGCACAGTGGGCACTCACTCAGTACTTGCTTGATGAATAATGACACCGGTAATTATCACTCATTATGGACTCACTGTGAGGCAAGCCCAGTGGGCCTCTGCTGGTTTGAAATTGGTCTTCCAGCAGAGAAGGGGACCTGAGTAGTTCCTGGGAGCCCTGCCTGATCTGTTTGGGCCAGTGGCCCAGGTACTGTGTGTTCCACTGTGTGCCGTAGGCTGGCCTTGGGAGACTTGAGCTCATCATTGGCCTCTGCCCCTCTAAGGGCAGCAGGAAAACTTCATTTCTGTATCTGGCTAAGATGGGGTTGATGTGGGTTTTGGTAGATGGCAGGCTGTTTGGCAGATTCTGTGGGTTCTCAACTGAAGAATAACTTTAGATCTGCAGCAGAGAGAGGAGTTGATTCCATCAACACCCCCCACCCCCCGCCGCCCCCTCTCCTGACTGCAGGAGAGAGGGGTGGGAACCTGGAGAAAGAGACGGGCCAGGCTGCTGGGCATGTGCTGGGGGCAGGCGGAACATGGGAACATGTAGAATTCGGGGGCAGCTGTTTTTCTGCCTGGCTTCTGATGGCCTGGCTGGAGATGGGTCTCATGAAGGGTCTAGGAGCTGTGTTCTGCAGCAGTGGCTTGGCTCTGTGGTGGCAGCAGGTAGAGGGGTGGTCACAGTCCCTTTACTGAGTATTGCTGTGGAGTTTCCCAGAGGAGCAGAGACATTCGTGTTCCTGGAACTGGATTGCCAGTAGTCTTGGGATTGAGAGTGCACAAAGATGTGAGGGTGGCCTGGGCATGTCATCCAAAAGAAATGTGTCATTCCCCACCCCTATCCCCTTGTGAAGAGCTCTGACTAGGTTCAGTGTGCATTTCAAACTTCTAAATGCTGAAATCAGCAAGGCATGTGGGCGGCACCAAGGACTGTGGCCTCAGATGAAAGACTAGGTAATCTGGGCTTGGCCATCCCCAATTTCAGGTGGAACCCTGCAGCCAGTTCCTTCCCTGTATCACCTTTCCACCTTCATTATGCCCTCTGTGAATCAAGAGTTCTGTATACGTTTTCTAATTATATCAGTACATCCTTATGAGGTTAGCATTTCATCTCCATTTTGCAGATTAGGAAACTGAGGATCAGAAAAGTTAAATAACTTTCTCAATGTCACACAGGCAGTGAGAGACAAAGCCAGTATTTGTGTATTTGGTTTTTTGTAACTTTCTGTTAGGTTCAGAGGTACATATACAGGTTTGTTACATAGCTAAATTGCATGTCTGGGGGTTTGGTGTACAGATTATTTCATCAGCCAGGTAGTAAAGCATAGTATCCAACAGGGAGTTGTTGGGTTTGTTTTGTTTTGTTTTGTTTGTTCGTTTGTGTTTGTTTTGAGACAGGATCTCTATTGCTCAGGCCGGAGTGCAGTGACATGATCACTGCCACTCACCATAGCCTCAACCTCCCGGGCTCAGGAGATCCTCCTGCCCCAGCCTCCCAAGTAGCTGGCACCACCATCCTGACTAATTTTTTTGTATTTTTTGTGGAGACAGGGTTTCACACAAAAAAAATGTTGCCCAGGCTGGTCTCAAATTCCGGAGCTCTAGCGATCTGCCTGTCTCAGCCTCGCAAAGTGCTGGGATTACAGGTCTGACCCACCGCACAGGCCCGAGATAGGTGGTTTTTGATCCTCACCCTCCCTACTCCCTCCGCCCTCAAGTAGGCCCTAGTGTCTGTTGTTGCCTTCTTTGTGTTCAGATGTATACTCAGTGTTTAGCTCCCACTTATAAGTAAGAACATGTGGCATTTGATTTTCTGTTCCTGTGTTAGTTTGCTTAGGGTAACAGCCTCCAGCTCCATCCATGTTGCTGCAAAGGACATGATCTCATTCTTCTTTATGGCTGCATAGTATTTCATGGTGTATATTTATCACATTTTCTCTATCTGGTCTACCACTGATGGGCACTTAGGTTGATTTCATGTTTTTGCTATTGTGACTAGTGCTATGATAACCATACATGTGCATGTATCTTTGTGGTAGAACAATTTATATTATTTTGGGTATGTACCCAATAATGGGATTGCTTGGTGGAATGGTAATCCTACTTTGAGTTCTTTGAGAAATCTCCAGACTGCTTTCCACAATGGCTGAACTGATTTACATTCCCACCAGCAGTGTATAAGCACTCTGTGTTTTGTTTTGTTTGTTTGTTTTGGATGGGGGGTGGGGGGGATGGAGTCTTGCTCTGTCACCAGGCTGGAATGCAGTGGTGCAATCTTGGCTCACTGCAACCTCCACCTCCCAGGTTCGAGCGATTCCCCTGCCTCAGCCTCCTGACAGCTGGGACTATAGGCGCGTACCACCACCATGCCCGGCTAATTTTTTTTTTTTTTTTTTAATTTTAGTAGAGACAAGGTTCCACCATGTTGGCCAGAATGGTCTCGATCTCCTGACCTTGTGATCTGCTCGCCTCAGCCCCCCAAAGTGCTGGGATTACAGGCATGAGCCGCCTCGCCTGGCCAGCACTCCCTTTTCTCCACAACCTGAGCAGCATCTGTTAATGTTTGACTTTTTAATAATAGCTATTCTGACTGGTATGAGATGGTATCTCATTGTGGTTTGATTTGCATTTTTCTAATGATTAGTGATGTTGACCATTTTTTCATATGCTTTTTGGCCACGTGTATGTCTTCTTTTGAAAAGCATCTGTTTGTGTCCTTTGCCCACTTTTTAATGGGGTGTCTTTTTGCTTGTTAACTTGTTCAAGTTCCTTATAGATTCTGGATATTAGACTTTTGTTGGGTGTATAGTTTGCATATATTTTCTCCTGTTCTGTAGGTTGTCTGTTTACTCTGTTGATAGTTTCTTTTGCTGTGCAGAGGCTCTTTAGTTTAATTAGGTCCCATTTGTCAATTTTTGTTTTTGCCACAATTGCAAAGCCAGTATTTGAACCTGGATCGTCTAACTCCAGAACCCACCCTGTCTCTACCATGCTAGGCTGTCTGCAAGGTCCTTATTGGTTCTCCATGGCAACAGGGAAACAGCCCTGATGCTTCTTACTAACATGGTCCCAGGGCCTCTGCTTGCATTCTTCTTTTTCCACACACTCTGCCGAGCCTGGATTATACCTTAGGCTGTGGGAATCAAAGGCTAGGTTGTACCAGGCTGCTGGAGCCTTCTGTGTGGCTCTGGAGTCGGGAAACTGGAGATTTGAGGGGACACACAGGGAGATGTGCAGTAATTCCAGTGAGAGATGACTCACTGCTTATCTGAGAAGTTGGGGCAAAGCTGCCAATTGTGACCATACTGTGAATAGGGAAGAAATTGCCAGGTAGACAAAACATCCTCAAATGTTACTGTATTTTTTTCCCCTTTTTGGTCCTCTCCAGGGTAATCTATTACCTGGGGAAATCAGCCCTCACCTGACACCTCCTATTGTCATTCACCTGGTGAACACAAGGGGCCATGTCACAGCTGTCCTTCTGCCCCTCCATATGCTCTGGACAGCTGGACTCCTCAGCAGTGCCTGGTCCACAGGAGAGGATAGGGCAGAACCGGGACAGCCAGGGGAGGTGATAACCACATGCTCCTCTGGTTCCCAGCTCTTGCTTTTATACCCACGCCCCACAGGGAGACAGCAATTATCCGCTGGACCCGCTTTACAGATAAGGACATGAGGCTCAGAGAGGTGCAGTGGTTGCCCAAGCTCATGAAGCCAGGGAGCTGCAACGGCCTGGGACAGCCATGTTTGCAGTCACGGTGGTATTTTCTATCCCCGCCCCCAAGGGCCGAGAGTGGTTATCCCTGCTAGGGCAGAGTTCTCACTGCTCCACCCACCCTCACCTCTGCCCTGAGAGCCCCCGATACAGGTGTCCATAGAATGGGAAAGGCTGGCACCCTTCAAAGGACGCCAGGAGCATTGGATGAGCACTGCCCAGCCGGCCCCTGCCCACCTTCCGCAGGAAGCCCGCCTGGGTGAGTTCTGAGAGCCTTCCTAGTGCTGAGCTGCAAAGAAACTGGAGCCCTCTCGGCCTCCATTGCAGAGGGGACACGCTGACCAGGATGGAAGTTGGGGGACTGGGTGTGGGGAGAAGCCATCCCACTGCAGGGGCCGAGGCTATCCATCTTTGTGCCCCTGGTTCCATGCCAGTGCCTGAGGCATGGGAGGTTCTTGGAAATGCAGTCAGATGCTGGGTGAAGCCCCACGAGGGGCTACGAATGCTTCTGCTGGGAACTCCTAGAGGGGCGGCACAGAGAGGGTCTTTGATGCGACCAACACTCAGAGAGTCTGGCTTTCGTGAGGTCATGCCTCAGGAGAGGAGACACTTCTCCTTTTCATTTGTAAAACAGAAATGATATTTGTCACCTTTTCTTCTCTGAGGCCTAAAGAGATGACAAAATGCTGTCGGTCCCACCCTGAGCCCGTGGACTTCACAGCAGGGTGTGGGGTGGCCCCTGACAGGCCTGGACGGTTTGCTCTGTGCTTGCTGGTGGACACGCTTCAGCCCGCTGTCTCCATTGCCCCAAATCTGGTCTGTGGCTCCTGGGCCCCCACCAGTATGGAGGGCAGGGGTGGGCCCCAGGAGCCCCTGACCACCAGTGACTTCTTGTTTCCAGCCACCCTCCTTCCTCTTGATTCCCCCCGACCCCCCGCCACCTCCTCACAAAGATGGCTGTGTGCTGAGGGACTGTGGCTTCCCTGGGCCCTGGGAAATTTATCACTGAGGTTTCAGAGGACTCTATGAAAAGGATCTGGAGAAAAAGTGTGGAAAATAAACAATCCAGTTCCCAGCTCAGCCTCTCCTGCATGCCACAAGTAAACAGCCACCTCGGAGGCCAGCCCAGGATGTTCTTATTTGGCCTCTGTGGTTACACCTGCCCCTTCCCCGCCCAGTTCCTCCTCCTTGACTTTGAGAGCCTCATAAGTCAGGGAACACACCCTCCGCTGGCCAGTCCTTGTGCTGCAGGGACGCTGGTGGCCGGACACAGGAGGAACATGTATATGGGAGAGAAGACGGCCGGGGGTCCCAGCTCAGTCCTGCTCCCTCTGAGTCAGTCCCAAGCCCGGACCCTCCCCAGCAGGCAGACGGTGACCTCTTGGTTGGTTGGTGAGTTTAACTTTGATGGTGCAGAATGATGGGACTTTTCTCCAGTTTCGTGGCATCTGAGAAGCTTTACTTCTTAAACATTGCTTTAGGTTGGATAGACCAAAGCTAATTTTCTCGTTATGTCTCTCCAAGGTGGGGCCTACCTGTGAGCAAACCCTCATACGTTCATTTACTTTGTAGGCTACCTGAACAAAAATGTCAGATTTCTTTGCTTTGGGCTCGAGTCCTATCAGCTCAGGGGTGGTGGTGTAAGGTGGCACCAATGATTTCCAGAAACTCAGGCACTATTCTGAGCGACTAAGTCTGTGGGATAGGAAGCACATTTTCTATCTCTTAATAACTTCGATTTACTTAGTGACCAACTTTAAAACCAAGCACTTGGTGAGAAGCGGGAGAGCCGGGCTTGGCAGCGGAGGGTCCTCACCTTGCATCCAGGGAGTGGCTGAGGGCTCTTCTCGTTCTCTGTGGCTGTGCTGAGCTGAGTCTGCAAGCCTCTGGGATTTGGGGAGTGGGGCACTGCCAGAAGGTTCTGGTTCCTGCTTTGTCCTGCTGCTGCCAGGCTTCTGGAGAGGGTGGTTGTGGGGTGAGTCCTGCATTCCGCACGTCCACTGGTTCCAATTCTACATATTGGGCTTCCAAAGAAAGTTCTGGTTCATAAGACGGCTTCACAGCTTAGCCGTCTGCAGACTAGTCTGCAGGTTGATCGGCTTTCTGTCGTGTGCGTGCTGTTCCTGTTCACACATGCCACGCCGAAGCCTGCCTGTGCCTGTGCCAGCCCCAGCCCACACAGCTACCTGAGATTTAGCCCTAGGCGTCCCCCCCTACCCTTTCCCGCTTCCCCCTTCTCCTCCCTTCCTCTCCAGCTGCCTCGCCATCTGCAGGATTCTGGAAAGTGCTAACGTGTGTGAGCCAAACAGTGCTATCCAAGGAAATATTTTGAAAACACCCGGGCCACCCGCTTCCCCACATTGTGACTACGCTGATTTTCAGCGAGGAGTTCACAACTCCAGCCACAGGGCAGGGCTGCAGGTGCCTGGCTTTCCTCTGGAGACTTCCAGGGGCTTGTCAGGGACCCAGAGGCAAGCTGAGGGCCTGTCCTGCAGGGTTGAGGACAGACGTGTCTGAAAAGGCCCCGAGAATAGGAACCTAGAACCTGCCAGTCATGAAGCAGTGTCAGCCACCAGAGGATGAAGAACCGACCATGACCTCACAGGTCAAGCACTTGCCTTCTTTTTACCCGGACACATGCTATTTCTCTTTCACTTTTCTTCCTTCTTTTGCATCTGGTGTAGGTGTCTGGGGGTAGCATGCACAGGAAGCAATCATAGTAAGAGCAGCTGGCGTGCCTAGCACTACCCTGAGCACCTCCAGGGCGTCCTCGCTGAGTTCTCACCGGAAGCTCCAGAGGTGGCTCCAGTTATTCCCAATATTTTACAGATGGGAAAACAGAGGCAGACAGGCTGGATAAGTTGCTGACATGCCACAGCTGGTGAGGGACAAAGCCGGGCCCAAACCCTGCAGCTGACTCCAGAATCTGCGCTCTCAGTACCACCTGTGTGTGCATCTGTCCCGTTGTGGCTGCACCGAGAGGAGAAACGGCACACAGACACTCATTTTCAAACTGTGGCCAGTGCATGTCATTGCATTCTGACTGGGAAGCTCTGGCAATGCTGGCATTGCATGGCCCATTGTGGGCACTACCAGTGAGCCTCGGCCTTCTCCAGGTCTGACTCTGGTACCTGTTGGCTGCCCTGGGTGGGGCATTTTGGATCCGGCATCAGGGTCTTTTGCCCGCTCTGCTGATTCTGCTCCCCTGTGCCCTGACCTGGTCACAGGAAGGGTGCAAATGGCAGTGGGTGTGGTCTCAGTTAGCAAGGGGGAGCTGGCAGATCAGGGACTTCTGCCTCCCTAGTGGCCATTCCAGCAAGACAGAAACCCCACCCTGAGTGATGTCTGGCCCTGTGATCTTTCAGCAAATATTTCTTCCCCAGCCTCACCTGGACTCGGTATCCCACATTCCAAATTGTCATCATTTCCCAGACACACACACCCTGCTCTCTGTAGCCTTCCCAGCTGCCAAGGACATTCCCTTCTTCCCCCTTTTTCCCTTGGCTTGAATGCTACGTTCTCCTGGAAGCCTGGGTGGTGGCCCTCCCCATGGCTGCCCATGGGTCCCCCTCGCCGCACTTTGCCCACGGTATTGTGACTGCTGGTTTACTGATCTGTGGTCTGCACCAGGCAACGGGATCTGCAAGGGCAGGACAGCTGTCTGCCTTGTTCATCCTTGTAGCCCCTGACTTAACAGTGAGTTCGGCTACCTGTTTATGGAAGGAATGAGTGACAGATGTGGCACGGGACCCTCAGGGGGCTGCTGGCTGGGAGGGTGGGGCAGGCCCAGTCCAGGATGCTTCTGTGAGGGAGTGCTTTGTGTCTGGGGAGGGTGGCAGGAGTCATGGTGAGCGGGAGGGGTGGCTAACATGGGCCAAGGAAGGGACAGGAAGAGTGGGACCCCGGCACGCGGCCTCTTGAGGTCATTATCCTGTGGGTATTGGGCTGGAATACGGAGGATGAGCCTGAAACCCTTCTAGAAGCCCCTCCAGTCCCGCCACTAGTCTGTCTGCCTGCCCTGGATACCCCTTTTTGGGCTGGTGGCTGGCTGCACTCTGGGCCCACTGCTCAACCCCACCAGCTTGTGGACAGCCGTTCAACTGCTCAACGGTCCAGTCCCCATCCCCAAATAACAAGGCCTCCCGTGGCTGAGTTGTTTCCCTGAGCAGAGAGAAGGAAGTCCTGCTGTCCGGCTGTCTCCCCATGGGTGGGTAGAAGTGTTCTGTGGCCCCAGCTCCAGCCCTCAAGCTGTCTGTCCTTGCAAAAGTAGTGGGGCGCAGAGTGCTGGGTTCTTGGGCGTCACCTGTCCAGGTATTGCTCACCTATGCTCATGCTGACACTGCAAGATGGAGGGACTTTCAGGCTGGAAGAGAGGAGACCTGGGTGCCCCAGTAACCACCTTTGATTCCCGCTGTGATGAGTCCACAAAGGTAGACATGAGGGAAGACTTGGGGAAGGCTTCCTGGAGGAGGCAGGCATTCCAGTGCATGAGGGAAGCTGGGCAAAGGCATGAGGATGGGAAAGTTCGGATCGAAGACAGGGACTGGTGAGGAGTCTGAGTGGACTGAACTGAAATGTATAGATGCACAAGGAGAGAGAGACAGGCAGGGTGGAGTTGCGGTTACGCACATAGGCTCTAGAGCCAGGCTGCCTTCATGGGAACCCCAACTCCCCACTTACTGGCTGTGTGGCTGTGGCCACGTAGCTTACCTTCTTTGTGCTGTTTTCTCACTACTGGTACCCACCACATGGGGATGATATGGGAATAAAATGTATTTCTATACAAGTGTTGAGAGCAGTGCCTGGCACACTGAGCATCAAGAAGGGTGAGCTGATATTATATAGGTATATGTTTTAATGCAGCTAGAAAAGGAAATCGAGGTCAGATCATAGAGGCCCTTGAATGTCATTCTTCCCATTCACTAAGCACCTGCCAGGTGCCAGACTCTTCACAGTCATTCTCACCAAGCGCCCTACAACCCGGCAAGGTTGTTATCAATGTCTCCATTTCACAGATTAGGAAACTGAGGCTCAGAGAGGTTGAGTAACCTGCCCAAGGTCACTCAGTCAGGGAGAGTCAGAGCCAGTAATAACACCCAGGTCTGCTGTCACTTGAGTCTTCCCTCAAAGTGAAGATTGGAGAGACATGGCAGGGGCATCACAGGGATGAGCCCTGGGCTGGGGCTGCAGTCAGGAGCAGAGCAGGAATGTGGCAACTGTGGGTCCCTGGAACAGGGCGGAGACGGGGAGAGATGCCAGGCGGGCCTGGAGGGTAGGGAGGCCCGGAGGCCACAGCATACAGCTCACCATTCATAGCCCAGGGCAAACCATTGAGTCATTTGGGGAAAACATGACATCACTGAGTCTCACTGTCTGCCGCCCACCTGCTGTCTGCCCTCTGTGGTTCTCCTGATGACCTCAGTGCTCCAAGTCCTGCAAGGGGACCCACACACCCCAGGTCGCAGGGCCAGATCAGCACTCCAGCTTCCTGCACTGGGTTTCCCTCCCCAGCCACTGTCTCCCACTTCCCCACCTCTCCCCTCCCTGCTTGGGGCCCCTACCCCAGCCCTACTCATACACACTGCTGAGGCAGAAGCTTCTGGAAGTGGCACTGGGCATGAAGAGCTTCCAGAAGGGCTTCCATGCCAAGCCCTTGATTGGAATTCCGGGCGGGGAGGGGACAGCTCAGAAGCCTGTGTCGCTTTTCCTTGAGAATGGTGCTGCTGTTTGGGTGGGATCACTTTTAAAAAGTAGAGCCTGGTAGAGCTACGTGACCAGCACTATGCCATAACCTAGAGGAGATTCCGACTAACGGGCAGGCCCCGCCTTCCTGGATAATACAGTTGAGTGTCTGAGAGTTCTTTCTGTACTAAGCATCTTTGAGCTGAGTGCTTTATTTTCATCCACCTGATTGTACAAGGTAGTCTCATTTTACAGATGCCATCCCTGAGGCCCAGAGAGGTTAGGCAACTTGTCCAAGGCCACACAGCCAGGATTCACACCCATAACTGTCCAACTCCAGATGTGCTCTTAGCCACTCTGCCATCCGGCCACAAATGAAACTACCAGAGAAGCATAGAAGGTGGAACGTACGCAATATTTGCCCCACAAATTGTACAGTGCAGACAGGAAGTACAGGGAGTTTTCATGTCAGAGTGTAGGTCACTCCCCTGAGTGGCTTGAAGTCTGTAGATCCATTTAGGAGAACATCCAGCTTCACTGGTTGTGCAAATCCCACCCATGCAGCTGTTTGGGGTGAGAAGTTTCTTTAAATGTCTGTTGACTGTCCTCTCTGGAAGGAGCACGGGGACTCAGGGGGCGCCTGTCCTGGTGTTGGTGGCCACACCTGGAAACGGACTATGAGTCAAGCCAGGGGCCCAGTGCCAGCTTCT